GGAACCGCAACGCGCCCAACGCCGCCCACCGGGCCTCGGCACCCGCCCGCGCGACAGGCGGTAACCAAGGGACGCGCTGTTAGGCTTTAACAGGAGTTCACGACTGTGGAAGAGGTCCTATTAATACACTGATCCAGTTTTATTTTACACTTTTACGTGTACTCTGAGGACCGGAGAACGGGACTTCGAAGTGTAATTCCAGGAAATACAAGATCCTTTACGTCTTTATTTCCTATAAACACCATCAAAACAAAGCACTGGAGCTCTGCTTTTGAACACACGCTCTTTGTGACGCTGCGTGGAGCGATCCCCAGCTGCCGCGACAGCGCCCCGCAGATGCTGCGAGCATCCTAAAGCGCTTCGCGTTTGGCAAGCGCACGCCGGCCCTCTGCCAGCGGCTTTCAGCTACGCCTCCGCTAAATGACCAAACGCGCCACGGTTGACTTCAGCAAAGGGGAGACACGAGCTTCCCGGGCCGAGCTTTCAGACAGCTATGCTCTCGGTACGCAGGTGTTAAGGATCGCCTACGTCGTGCGCAAAAGCGAGCGGGGAAAGGCGACGAGCCCCTCGCGCGCGCGCCGCAGAGAAACGCGTGCAGGCCGTGCTCAGGAACGCTCCGTCGTCCGCGAGGCTGACGGTTTAAGCATCTCTAGTTTATTCAAGCAGACAACGATCTTTCAGATCTGCCAAATACTTTGAAGACGCTGTCATTATACCTGTCAAGAGACATTATTATTTACAATTATTTGCATTGCAGACTAGCCGGGGATTCAATTAAGTCCCACCGTAAGTTCCTCCGGACAGGAACCCGCCATCCAGTCGCCTACAAACACTCTCAAAAAGGCAAAACACAGGAGGGCCCGAGCGCTCTTCTCGCGGCAAGGACGATGCCCGGGAGTGGCTGGGGAAGTCTGACAGGAACGCTCTCAAAGGTGTCGGTACCTAACGCTTGGGTCAGACCCAAGCTCAGTCTCCTCACCTTTCAGGCACCCCGAACCCTTACGTGTTTCAGGCAAGCCCGTCAGGAACCACGGCTCAAGTTGGCAGT